CCCAAAATGAGCACACTTCTCTAATGAGGCAGAGACATAACGGGCGGATGAGAGAGAGCTACGAATTGTCAGATTATCGGTTGATGGAGATAGTGGGAATGCGAACGTTAAATGTAGCAAACCAGTTCGTAAATTTTGCTAGAAAAAACCTCGACTTGATGCGGGCTTGAGAGGCCAGAGGAGAGGGTAACATTGGGACGCCGGAGAGAAGATACATCATCGGAAGGGGCGTCAAGGGATTTAGGGAGATGGTCACTGCCGAGAGGACGCACAAAGCAGACTTCTGGCTACTACATAAAGGACCGTTTTCTGACTAGTTGGCGCGGAGCAGTCAGGAAATGCACATGTACAGTAGATGTACTAACTAATGAAGCGGTGACCGAGAATCCGTAATGTGTTTTCGACTCGAAAAGATTACTTAAGTAGGGCCGAAGTACCAATTGCCGTACAGCATATTCTCAAGATAATTCAGTGACCTCGGGATGTCGGCTTCTGGAGGAACCGAATTCAAACTACAAGCTGCATATTTTCCATGTATGGAAAACATACATTTCTGTGCGCTACTAAGAACTAACCATATGGGTTTCATAAAATTTAACTGTAGATTTGAGCCATATTGTAAACTTTGCAAGCAGCGTAAGCAGATGTAGAGACACGGTGTTTTATGAGCGGGCATTTCACGGTCTTAAAAATTATCATAATTAGACTGTTTTAAAACCGAATTATACCTTTTCTTAAAGTATGAATTTTGAGGAAGACGTAATTTGCTTCTAAATTAGCAAAAAGAGCAATTTTATGCACGTTTTCCGTAAACTTTGTTTGAATTTATAAGGGCGTCGAAAATCAGTGAAGAGAACTCATGCTATTTAAGTAGACATTTTTTACAGAGTGTACGCTTTTGCAGGCGGCCGGAGTTAAGTTCCTTCAGAAGCCGACATCCCGAGGTCACTGAATTATCTTAGGATTATGCTGTACGGCAATTAATCTTTCGACCCTAACCAAGTAATCTTTTCGAGTGGAAAACGCATTTCGGATTTTCGGTTAACATTTCTTGAGTTAGCAAATGTACTGTACAGTAGGTAGGCTAACTCATGAAATGTCAACCGAAATTCCTAAATGCGTTTTTGTTTCGAAAAGATTGATTTAGTAGGGTTGTAAAACCAATCATAATTCTATCACAATTCAGTTACCTCAGGATGCCAGCTTCCAAACAACTTTTCGGCTGCATTCAGGAACTACTGTCCGTAAAAATGACTACATAAGTAGCATACATTTTTCTCGTTGATTTTCGATGCCCTTAAAAAGTAAATTATATTTCATGGAAAACATGCAGAAAAATATTCATTCTTCTACTAATTCGTGAGGAAATTACGTCTTCTTTCAATTTTATACTCGAAAGGGGGAGATAATTCGGTTTTAAAAAGTTTCTAATTGTGTGATTTTTTAAAATCGTGAAGTGTTCATAAAACGTCATGTCTCTGCATCTACTAGTGTTGCTTGCAAAGTTAACAATATGGCTCAAACCCACGGCTAAATTTTATGAACCCCATATGATCTCTTCTGAATGCCGTAGAGAAATTTACGGTTTTCCGTAAGCGGAAAATATACGGCTTGTAGTTTGGAAACCCTGAATGCAAGTGTAACGGCAGGTCGAGTTTAAAATTATTCGAGAATTGGAAAAGTTCTTGAAAACCAAATTAAACCCTTTAATCGAGTATAAAATTGAAAGGAGACGTAATTTTCTATCGAGTGGGAGGAAGAATGAATATTTTTCTGCATGTTTTCCATAAAATATAATTGACCTTTTAAGGGCATCGAAAATCAATGAGAAAAATGCATGCTACTTAAGTAGTCATTTTTTACAGAGTGTAGTTCCTGCATGCAGCCGAAAGGAAGTTTGTTTGAAAGCCGAAATCCTGAGGTAGCTGAATTGTGATAGAATTATGCTGCTCGATGATTAGTTTTACAACCCTACTTAATTAGTCTTTTCGAGTCGAAAACACAATTCGGGTTTTCGGTTAACATTTTCGGAGTTAGCACATTTTCTGAATGTGCTTACTGGAGCCGAGCGCACCAGAAGAGCAACGTCGCCTTAGGGTTTGCACCCTGCTTTGTATGAAAGTTGTGAACTAGGTCCGAGAAAGTGAAGAATGACGTGATGGTACCCAGAACAACTTGTTCAGTGAGCTCAGAAGTGCGGGTGAGCCAGCTGCTAGGCGGAACGATCTAGGATTACAATTATTAGATTTTTTGGAATGGGAGCGATCCTGAGAGTATGCGAAATATGAGGAATTTTAGGCCTCTACAGGTGAAACGTCAATGAGTCACAAAGGTAGCTAGCTGAGTAGAACAGGACTGAAGTAGCAGCGGCGAGACGCCATCCTATCCAGTTGCTGTTGAACCACATACCTTTCGAAGGCGTCCTCCAACTGTATCCATGGACACAGGACAGAAGACACTCGCTGGTGGTACGAAGTCGCCTGGCAGGAAATTGGACTCTTGGATCGTAAAGATATTGTTTTAGTTTAGTGAGTCTAAGTTATTAAAACTTGAGTAGGCATTTTAAAATTCAAGATGATTAGAGTCAACACCACTTATAGGAAGCCCTGAATGATCAGCAGGTCCTTCGGTGGGCGTTCAAGCACGATCCGCCAACTGTGTTGTCGTCTTTTTCGTGCGCTTATTACCGCTTAGACCACTACGCATGGCCTTCCTTCGGAGGAGGCAGAGCAATTTCAGGTTTGCACACGATCTTTCTCTACCAAGGATAAACATGACGCACCCTGGAGCTATTACGGCATGTGGCCTAGATGATTGCCGACTGACGGGTCTACTCGGTTCTTCGTGCTGGTGGTCAGGCGACAGCGTCTCTGTCTTAATGTTGCCTCTACTTCATCTCCCGCCACTGTCATATCCGAGCAAGCAAGACCGAGTTTTTTTGGAAGCGACAAGCGCAAGCGGAGGTTTTATTGTCACCTGCTTCTACGCCCACCCGTCAGTCATGTTGACTTTGTGTTGCTAATTGCAGATGAAGATACACAACAACATGCCACCGCCGCCGCCGGTGCCCACGGAGGTGGAACGGACTGCAGCAGCGGTGAGACAATCTCGCGTCACCTCAGTCATGCAGGCTGCAGCGATCGACCAACTGGACAGCGTGGTCTCCATGCCACTGCCCCCGGCGGCTGTTGTCAATCAACAAGCACAGCACCAGGCGCAGCCTCAGCAACAGGAACAGTCTCAATCACGAGAACAGCAGGCCTCAACTGTGGATATCAGCCGTCTTCAGCCCAGTCCCATGGATCAGCTGCGCCCTCGGCGGCCCGACGACGCGCCTTGGGCGCCCAACCAATACATTCAGAAAGGTTAGTCCAGTGTGTTAGCTTAGAACTGCAATGGTTCCTTATTGCAGCCCCTATGGCACCTCTTACACTGGTCAAAAACGAACTGCGCCATACCAGAATGGAGGACGGGCCGGCTCGCGGCACGCGTTTGACAAGCTGCGCTGACTCCGCGCGAGCCCACCACTGCCCTGCTTGCCATTGACACGCCTTTGATGCACGCCTCCTCGCCGCGTCAGCTACTGTGCCTTATCTCATCATTTGCTGGTTGACAGGCCCACATAAGTCACTGGTGTATGGTACAGGAAAGAGAGTGAGATCGACACTGGGAATCAATCCTCACGGCAAATCAGCCCATTCATCATTATAAAAATCTGACGCGCTTGAATCTATCACCACACGCTAAAGGTCGTGGCTTGAAGGGTTGTCAATTGACGGGATAACTGGGTCAAACGCGGGGCCAAGGGCCAGGCCGCAGTAGCTTCTTCTTAATATCGCCTTTGTCACTAACTTGTTTGAACCCAGAAACCGACTCGTGGAAGACCGGTTCGTGTGGGGTCAAAAACAAAAACTCACGGGGCACGCCTTGACTCGTCAGCCATTGCCATCTGCAGCCATTTTGACTGTCGTCATGGGAACACTAGATAAGAAAAGGGCGACGTAAATGTCACCCAAGCCTGCTTCGTGGTAAAAAAATGCATGCGCGAGTCACTCCCTCCCCATCTCGGGTCAGCAACGGTCCACATCGTTTGCGACGAACTACCACCTGATTTGAAGGACACGATAGGGAAGACGAAACAGAACACTGGATGCGATTGGCGGTGAAACATCATCCGATTAGTGCCAAGGTAGGAGAAATGAGCTAAGAGCAGTCCGGATGGGATCCTACTGCAAGAGCTTTGTTGATTATAAACTGTACCAGGACACAATAAGGCTGGCCCAGCTAAAAAAAGACCTCACCACCCGTGAAGACTGAACAGAAGGTCTAGGCAACACAGGACACCACTCTTACGCGGCTTTGGCAGAGAGTCGGCCTTAGAGTAAAATGTCCGCCTGGTTCGAAAGCGGTTTCAACGCAGTGCAGCCGTAGTCGCGCGTTTTGATTGCTGACGATTTCTAAGAGCTTTCAAAGTGCCATTCTCTTCCTCCTTCCTTTCCCCCAGTAATTACCGTCTACGAGTACACCGCGGACAAGAACGACGAACTCACGTTTGGTGAAAATGAGCTCATTTACGTAATCAAGAAGAATGACGACGGTTGGTGGGAGGGCGTTATGAGCGGCGGAACCGGACTCTTCCCGGGCAACTACGTAGAATCAATAGAATGAGCCGCGGTCGCCACCGACTGCCTGCGTCCCCCTCCCCAAATGAACTCTCGGCCTCCATTCGTTGCTTCTTTTCTCACCGCTTCTACATTCACTGCTTTTGTCGTACCACTGCTGCTGCTACTGCTTCCACTTGCGCGTTCCCAGTCCCCATCCCATCCCCTGGCTGATTTTCCTTCACCAGCAGGATTGCGACGACGAACTCCTTGCCGTGCCCCTGGATCCAATGTTCGATCTCAATTTGACGCCTTTTACCAACCAAATCCAGTCAACACTGCGGTATCAAAACAATCAACTGATTAAATAATTTAATAAAAAATCACAGGAGGCACAAACTAAATCTGCAGTTTGGAGGTAGGAGCGCTGAGCTCCGCCTCACTGTCCTCTTCCTCTGTGCCATTTTGTTCGCCACCCTCATCGGCTTCACTGTCCTCTTCGGTTTCGCTGCCCGATTCCGAGTCACTGTCAGCTCCATTGTCCCAGTTGGACGTGAAACCGTAGTAGCCGGCACCGAGCTCACCCTCGTCATATTCATCATAATCGTCATCGTCGCCGCCGTCGTTGATTCGCTGTCTACCAAAGGCATAGTTGCGGGCTACAAGAGGAAAGCGAGAAAGGTGCGACTGTTGGGGACTAAGTAATTCGGCAGATATACATGGTAGTTCATCTTCACTGGATTTTCGACTTTCTGAAAACCTTCGAGTGCAGGCTAAAAACCGAATTAGGACTTCACAGGAGTGGTTCTACCCCTAAACACCCACGTTTACAGATTTTAGCGGAGCAATCGTTCAGGCTGAAGTAGGCCTAACTTTCGGGTTGGGAGGGGTATAACAACGACTAATCAGCGAAGGCAAATCTTGGGGGATAACTCGAGGCAGAAATTTTGTGATGGGACCATGGTTTGGTCCTCCGGCAGCAAACAGTTTTTGGCTGCGAGCTCCCTATTTCTCATAGTCTGCCTTACTGACATAACCGTATAGCTTCTTCGAAGACAGATTGACTATTCACCGGCAGTAGGCTGATGGATACGGAACTAGCTGATACTATCCTTTTGTTTCTGACATTCAATACCGCGTTGGTGTCTAGTATAGATCAACCTCTGGAGACCATTTTCGATGCGTTGCAGTCAGTTTACTGCCGTTATCGACTTTAGAACCCCGCCTTAGTGGCAAACAAGGTTATTTCCTAAATTAGACTAAATTTTGCCGACTTGTTCGAGGGTAAGCCGCCCTTGGCGCAAGTGTACCCCTCCTTCCAGTGGATGACCCTCAACGGAGGTGTCAGTTGATCGTCCTTACTATTTTGATTTTGTAGAATGCACATCTCAGAACTGGGTCCCAAATCAGACCTTTTTTAAAACGGATTCACACCGCATAAGGCTGGTGGGGATCCGCTTCCCGAAAGAAACCCAACCGCAACACGCCAAACGGGGTTGGTCAGAATCCGCCACCGGGGTTTTCCATGCATGCGGGCGGACTTACTTGATATGCTGAGGCAGAACGCCTGGTCCAGGGGGTGGCTGCACCTTGGACAGGGAATTGGCTGCCCAGGGACGTACTTGATGCCTTTGCGCCGACAGTGGTCGTCACAGAACACCACCTTGCATCGCATGCAGGCGTTGGAGCCAATGCGATTGCACGAAG